ATCAAATACATTATACATAATACATAATTACATGGTACATTATTGTCAAAAAGTAGAAAATCTCTAGGAGGAATTCAACAAGAATCTGTTTACTACAGTCTTGAACTTAGTCATGTTAGGACTGTCAGGGAAAACCGAGGCTGGTAAGGAGTTCCACAGCCTGCTAGTCCTTGGTACATATGAGGACATGTGAAGCTGAGTGTTGGATCTTGTGATGGATTCCAGTGAGTTCCTTTGAGGGTTGCAGGAAGACGTGCCGGTAAAAGGTACTCAGACTGGCTACTTCACTTGCTAATGTGATTAAAATCCATTGCAAATAGATTTAAACTTTTAGTAGTTGTGCACTAAAATCAATGATTACCTCCCTAATGTCCAGGTTGTGGAGCCTATGCAGACAATGAGACGGGAGCGGTGTCCTGTACAGGGCACGGGGAGGCCATCATGAGTGTGACCTTAGCCAGAACAGTCACCTTCAACATGGAGCAAGGTACAGACGACTCGTTTAGAACATGAAGGGCTTATCATTTCTCATGTAACTGGTAAAGCCCTGTCCTAATTTGTACTCTACTACGATGGCAGCACTTTCCACAGGCAGGAAAATTATGGAACTTAAGAAAACTTATTTAGAGGTTTGTTTTTTTCATAAAATTCTTCACTCAACACTTGAATTTATGCCAAAAAGTCCTTTATCTTGTGTAATATATAATTACATGTAGTATATTACAGGCTTCTTTTTACATGACAAACTCTTTTTCCCACATTTTGCTTAGATCTACGACTAATCTTACCTCTGAATCCCCCACAGGTGCCAGTGCACAAGCAGCAGCAGACAAGAGTATTGCGTACATGAAGCAGCGTGTGGACGGTACGGGAGGAGTCATTGTTGTGAGCAGGGAGGGGCAGACAGGCGTCAGCTTCAACACCAGGAGGATGCCATGGGCAGTAGTGAGGGACGGGACAATACGATTCGGAATGAACCCAGGAGAGAACTTCCAAAATGAATTTACCAACAGTAGTTAATAAATTCATCTCTTGAACTTTGAATAACTACTTTTTAGAGATAGTGCCATGTATGTAGGGTTTTAAAAGATAACTTGGATTTCATGCATGAGATTATTATCAGCACAGCATGCTTGTCTATGCAGAATTCTAGTCGATTTTATTATGTCTCTTTGGTCATATGATATTTATAATTGTACTTACTATGGCCAAAATATGATTGTGCTTCTCTACCTCAATAGGAAAATATTAAGTGAATGTTAAGTAAGAATGACAATGACAACTTTTATCATGACAAATAAATTTTCTATTATATCATCATCAATCAAATGAGAACACCTCTTCATATTATTTACAGTTATTGAATCAACAAATAAACATAATAAAAATTCCACAATTCCACCAGGACTTATCTTGTTCCCAGGAACTTCATTTAGTGCATAACAAAAGGGTGTATAATTCCTCACTTACTCAAAGTAGGCAATAGCTTACCTTATACATGGAGTATACAACTTCTGACACAATTGACCTTCAGTTCTTTGGCTGAACACCTACGGCTACTTTTGCTGAACTAGAATTACTTCCCCCTCCTTTCACACAAGTCGTTTTGCATGTTGTTTTTTGCAGTCTCCTTTTTTTTCCTACTTGAAGCATACAAAAATAGTTTGATGAGTGGTCCATAGTGTTTTAAATTTCAATATGATGAAACTTGGTTGCTAAGGTATAAGACTTTATGACTACTTAAAACATCCAAAAATGTTGACTGCAAACGTGCTTTAATGAAATCATAGCGGAACTTGCAAGTCTAAACTTGAAAGCCATGTAACCTTGTGTATAACGCCATCGTATTAAAACTGGTATTTTATATCAACTTGGAGCAACCTAGTTTTTTATGTTTCAGCAATGTAGGGGAGCTTTACACCAATTTCCATATTGCATATACATGTAGATATTGCATGGTGTACTATGTCGGGCCCTCAGAAGCGCTACTAGCTGCAGGTGATTGTTCCGACATTTTTGGGGTCCCCTCTCGAGACTGACTGTCCGTGGATGACTGTGGGCTGTTTTGTGCGCTGGGAGTGTCCTTCAGTTGCGCCACCTTGCGGAGAACAGGTGGTACCTTCAGGCCGGCGAGTTTGAAGGCGGTGATTGGTAACGTCTGAGTGGGAGCCTTAGTTGTTGATGATGTTGCGGCGGGTTTGAATCTTCCTCTCAGCATCTGACTTATCTGTGCGAAAACAAGCAGAAACATGCAATTTGCTTTTAAGACCTCAACTATAGATGCCGATCGCTGAGCGCTCAAATTGGACTTGTGTGACCATTATTATATTGATTCTACAGCAGAAATATGTTGCACCAGAATACACAAGAC